AGGAAAAAATCAATTTTGTTCCAGTGATCGACCATATGTCTCCTTTACCAATTCTCCCTCTGTGATGGGGAACCTACACGCGACGAAGGCATCAAGAGTTTTCTGACTGCGTTCGTCAGGATTCCCTTTGTAAATGATGTCTCGATGGATTTCAGTTCTCAGTGTCTCAGCTCGGCGGATTATTTTACCCACCTTGGAAGCCATTGTTTGCCCCGATTACGCCGTCTAAGCCTGAGGCTGTATCACGTGCCTGATGTTACGCCGAGTATTGATAAGGAGGTGGACTGTTTCCCATCACTGGACGAAGCGGAAGTCTGTTTTTTCGGACGCTGGTGCCCTGGTGGTTTTCGTGCAGTGATTCGACGCCTCCGTAACACTAGGCAACTTGCTTTGATGAATACCAATCTATGGATCCATGGACAATCTTGTTGTATCGCAAAAACCCAATTTTCTTTTAACACTCTTCGGATTCTACGAACAGCCCTCACATTCCTCTCTCCTGACAACATATATGAAAGGATCCAATTTCCAAGTCTGGAGCTCGTGGTTCTGATAAACCACAACCTGTCTCCCGACATGGCAAAGACGGGTCAGTACGAATCCTATTTCCCGGGCGTTAAAGTACGCTTTGGACTTCCAAAGCGTCGAAGAGACAATGACCCGAAAGATTGTGCAGCCTCTTATATACAAAATAGTGTTGACATGGCCCTGGCAATTGAAAATCCCCTCTGGGACGGGCTTCATGGGCTGCAGCGAACTGTTCCACTCTCCCTGGAGGAAGTTTACCTGTTATTTATCCTTGAACCTATCCTCGATAGTCTTGGTGTTTCGCTTGAAAGGAATGCCATTGAGGAAATTATACTGAAGGCTAATGTACGCATTTCCCGCCTTCGATGCGAGTTAATTGCCATGGAGGCGCATGAGGTGATGAGGCTGAGAAAGGGCTAGGGAATGGTAGCCATGCTGAAATTCCTGCCTATTCTGGCTGCTCAAAAGGATACTCTCACTTCGCTAGACATCGCGGCGGAGTTGCTTGTTGGTTGCCTTAGAATTCCAGAGGCACTGAGGCAGATAAAGAGTCTTCGTGGCCAGCTGGTCAGTATGGTGGAGTTAATTGCCAACGCTGTAGAAGACCTGTCTGGTGCGCCGTTCTACAATCCAACGGTTAGCACTGCTGATCTTCGACCGTTTCTGGAGATGTGTCCATCCCTTGTGTGTCTTGAAATACGCATTCAGAGATGGTGTACAAAGCTGAATTTTGCCAAATTGCGCCGCTCATGTCCATGTCTGAAAACACTTTTCTGCTATTCACCGAACTGTGTAGAGGATTGGATGGACGGACTGACTTCGCCGTGGAGGCTGCAATCCTTCTTTTGGAGCTTTGGTGCTGAATTTACTGTTAAGCATTTGTACGCTCTTGCTGGCTGCGTGCAGGCTTCTTATATCCTCTTATGCCTCTATAAAAGAACGTTCACAGTGGAGAGGAAGCATGTGAGAACTGTCTTTGCAAGAATGTCCTGTCTGTGTTGGCTTGTTCTGACTTTTTGGAAACGAGCCTGGATCTGCAGTCGTGACCCGGACAGCCAAACGGTTCAAATCGTGTCAACGAAGACTGCGTCATGGGAGGATCTTTGTGGAAGGTTTCCTCAACTGTTTGGGAAACTGTGGAGTAGTCACATGGCATGCACTCATAACTCTAAACAACCCTGCCCGTAGATGACAGATTGTTTTCTTTTTCCTCCAGTGCGCGCTATTTGTGAAAGATGCCACCACTCTCTGGGTTAAATAAATTTATTTTTTGTCTGACTGTTGGCTGTTATCACGAGCATTTTCCGAATTCGAGGTTAGAACAGCTATGCAGTCGCTATTTCAGTCAGTCAGAAGTCAGTCAGTCAGCACACACCATCTGACGCGCTTGAAGATATCATCGTGCGCGAAAAGCCTAGGCCCGGAGGGTTGCTAACTGACGGATAACTCGGAACCCGCGGTCAGCCCAGCGTGTGTGTGTTATGTTGGTGCCCCTTAAACGCGCCACGTTGTAGATTTATCGGACCATGATTGAGCCAGATCAAATTACGGAAGGCTTTAGTCGGGTCGCAGGCCCATAACAGATGTCGAAGATAGGGTGAGGGAGGGCGGTGATGGTGTCGGAGTTCGACGTCCGGACTAACTAACGAAGCGCCTAGCGAGTATTATCCAAAAATAATAAGGACGTAACACGCAAAAGTGTTACAAGGGATACTATTGAAGAAACGAGCACAACCGTAATAATTGTCGACAAGTCCAGCTGCGTAGGTGTAAAAGTGTCCCTGCGCGTAGGTTTAGCGAAGCCTTGTCCAGTCATCAGCCAATCAGGAAAGGGTGCAGGTATTGGCGTCAGAGCTCGCGAGGAATCGATTAGCTCCGGGTGAGAACGCGTCCACAGCGGTGGCGCAAAAATACAAGAGCGCGCAGAGGTAAGAGGATGAGCCAGCGCTGGGAGCGCAGCTAGACAAAGGTTTGGAAGATGAGGTGAATGCGCGCAGCACTACCAAATCCAGGCTGCCGCAATAGCACTCTCATTCAAAGTCAGGCTTGGCAACTACGGCCGCCTACGCTTACCCCGCCTCTGCTCTTCTTGACTTTGTCTTGATATCGTGGTCGGGCGGATGAGGGAAGATAGAGAGCAGTAGATGCAACGAAAGCTTATTTTCACTTAAATGAAATTCACGCGTGATTCACTGTCACTGAGTGCCGTGGACCTCACCACGGACCTCTTAAAAACGGACGGTTAACTAACGGAATCGGCTGACTGATGGACTGAGAGTTAGGCTGCACTGGCTCCTTCTCGAGGTAACCTGGATGGCACTCCCACGCGCCTGGGGCCCCAGCTGCCATCAATTTTGCTGTGGTTTTCTGGTTTTGGTGGACTTCCTCCCTCATCTCGGGTCTTCTTAACTCTGTCTCAAAACTGCTTCAGGTGGGCAAGTGAAACTGTAGTGTCGAAGTAGTTGTTGTAGTC